TCCACATGAGCAGGCTAAAAGGTCCCTCTGTAATTAGTTGGTCCTGGTTCCTCTTCTTTCCCTTCTGGCTCTTAGAAGCACACCTTCTCACACTCTCTGGAGTCCATAGAAAATGGGTTGGGTTTCCCAGTTCACCTGCTTGGTCTTGGGTGGGGTGGGAGGGCCCTACAAGGGCCCTCAGGTGGTGAGGCTGCTGTTGCAAGATTGTTCTAACCCAGGCAGATCGCTCTGGCCCTGGCAGATGCCCTGGATATAGTGCACAGGGGCTGTGGGCTCTTTGTACACTTGCCAGCAGAAGATGAGTAGGAAAGCGAGGCTTTCAAAAGGCTGTGTCCCTCTTTGAAGAGAAGCCCTTGTCTTGTGCCCTCCTGTTTGTTTTCTTGCTGCTTAAGTGCCTTCACTATAGTACCTCTTTGGACGTTGGTGGACACTGTGGGGACCAGAAGAGGACTGGAGGCTCCAAATGGATGGAGGACTGGGCAGGCACTGACATTGACAGACATTTCTTTTCAGGGTGGGGGAGTAAAGCTAGGTGAAGCTTGGCCTCTTAAAAGCCTGGATTCCTAACCTCTGGAGGTGCAGAACTAGGACAAGGAGCTTGTTGGAGCTGGTTTCTTGCTGACAGCATCAGAGGCTGCCATTTTCACTGCCTAGATTTGGGTTACAGCCTAGATTCTTGCCCTTGTTCTTATAGCATAAGGTTTGGGCCTAGCTGAAACATTTCCTTCTGTCCTCCAAGGACTGAGAACGCAGATGTATGTGTTCTTCTCCTAGACAGAAGCAGCAGAGGAGGGCAGAGGTACTGGTTGGAAGCATGGATTATCTGGAAACCAAGTCATGGTTGAATGTGTTCCAGTTTTGTGAGTGTGGGAGACAAAGTGGAGTGCTAAGTAGAGAAGGCCTAGCTCCAGAGCCAGGGAAATGAATTCAAAACCTGACATGGCTGCTAATTCATGACCCTGGATGAGTTATGTAGCTTCTTGGGGGGCTGCTTGCTTGTCTATAGGATAGAGCTGATGGTCACATCTGCCTCACAGGGTTCTATAAGTGTTCAGTGAGGATACAGGCATAGGTCACAAGGAAGGGTGGGGGTACAAGGTATGTGGCATTGCCACTGACCTACTGTAGTACTGCTGCTTGCTCTTCTGAGTGGTAGTATTGAAACATGGAAAGAGCTGCTTTTTTTTTTTTAAGGCAGGTTCTTGCAGGTTCTCTTGCCTTGAATTCACTATGTAGCACAGGCTGGTCTTGAAGTCATTGCAGTCCTCCTTCCTCAGCCTTCTGAGTGCTTGGATTACAGGGATGCACCACCACACACCCTGTACAATAAATACAGTTTTTTTGTTTATTTGGTACCAGGGATTGAACTCGGGACCTTGTGCTTGCAAGCAGGTGGCAGAACCACTGAGCTAAATCCCAGGCCCAATAAATACAGTTTTAAAGGTTATTATCAGATTCTTACATTACTGGTGGCAATTTCACATAGTGTAGCCACTTTGGGAAATTTTCAGTTTATTAAAAAGCAAAAGATACACTTCCCATATGACCCAGCAACTCCACTTCTAGGTGTCCACCCAAGAGAAGTGCATGTGTTCATGCAAGCACTTGTATGTGACTGTTCATAGCAGCATTATTCACAACAGTCCCAAAGTAGAAACAACCTAAGTGTCCCATCAGTAGATGAATGGATAAACAAATTGTGATCCAGCCACATAATGGACTACTATTCCACACTGAAAAGGATAAAATGGAGATTCATGCTGCATCATGGGAGAACCTTCAAATTATATTAAAGGAGGCTGCAATGGCAGCCAAGTATAAACAGGTACTGAGTGATTCCATTTGTATGAAGTACCCAGAATAGGTAAATCATCAGAATCATGGGCCAGGGATTTAGCTCAGTGATGCTGCTACCTGCCTCACAAGTGCAGGGTCCCGAGTTCGATCCCCAGTACCATTTAAAAAAAAAAAAAAAAGGCTAGATAAACCATCAGAAACCAAAAGCAGACTAGTGGTTGGAAAGAGGGAAGTGATTGCTAATGGTCCTGGTTTTTTTAGAAGGGTGATGAGAATGTTTTGTTGTTGTACAATTCTAAAAATGCTAAAAGCCATTGAAATGTACTCTGTAAATAGGTAAATTGTATGGTATGTGAATTATATCTCAATAAAGCTGTTATTAAAAAGAAAAGTTAATACCAGGGTTAACTAAAATGAGATCATCTAATTTTGGAACAGAGTTTCTTACCACTTCATTGGAAGCCTCATGAGTGGATTGGGCTCTGGAGTCAGAGCGTTTTCCTTAAGGATTCTGTGACATATATCCATCCCATTTGCCCTCTTTTCTTTGTATGCAGTAAGATTGATCAGGTAATGTCTGCCTCACTTTGAGTAATTCTGAAGGGACCATAGAAAAGATTACAGTTGTGAAAACGTGGCACATCTATTGTAAATGAACACTAATTTCCCTCAGTCCTGGCCTAATTTACGTCTTTGCCTTCTCTTTTAACACTTCTGAAGTCCTTTATGGAAGGAGATAGAGCCCTCATTTCTCTCCTGAGGAAACTGAGACTCAGAGAGGCAGAGATTGTAGACATTGCTTCACACTCAGTTGGCAAGACTGTGTCCAGCTGCAAGATAGGTTCTTTGGCTGGTGGCTGAAACAATTACTGTGTAAGGGGGAAAGATGAGCAGTTAGTTTGGTGACACCATACCCTGGAATAGTTGTCTCAAAGTGGGCCCAGTGGGTGATCCCTTGAGACAAAAATATCAGAATTTCAGTTGATATGTTCATCATTTCCATTTAATTTTACATATGTGATATATGTCACATTTTATAACCTACTGGCACCAGCCATTGATCTGTGACTTATTAAGGGCATATTCTGTCAAGATTTTAGACCGTTGCACTCAAGGAGTGGGTTGGGAATCCAGAATCAGGGAAGAGGAGGCACCTTGAAAGGTCTTTCTGCAGTTCCTTCCCTTGGTGATTATTCAGTCTTCATAGTGAGCCCCAACATTAGTTTTTTGTTTTTTTCTTTTTCTCTCTCAGAGCAGAGTTGTGCCTTGTTGGGGCCTGGGAGAGTCCATCTCTGAGAGGGCAGTGAACCCAAAGATAATTCAGAGGTCATGTCAGAGAAGCTTCAGGAATGAGGACTTCCAAAGCCTAGAAAAAGGGGCTTGAGCTGGAGGGAGGATGTGGGAAAGGCTTGGATCTTGAGCCTGAGCCCCCCAGCCGGAAGGTACTTGGATCCAAGTAAGATGGTGTCAGAAGCTACCACCTTTGCCCACAACTCCTTTGTCTTGGCCAGGACAGTCCCACCTGGCTTCCATTGCTGTTACCCACCATGAGCATCTGGAGAGGCACCTGCAGGCTGTAGCCCTGTTAGTGCTGGGCCAGGCCTTGATGAGCCAGCCCTCCTGTCCCACCATGCTGAGGCAGGCCACATAGTAAACACCCCATGGCACAGGATGCATGCTGTTTCCCATCCAAAGCCAGAGACATCCTGTGAGCCTAGTCTTTACCTGACTATCTACATTTTGAGCTGGTGGCATAGAGTTTAAATGATCTCAGAAGCCCTACAGTCAAAGGCTTCTTGCAGTTGGGAGGCTCACCTCCCAGTCATGGGGAAGAAAGCCAATGGGGGCCATGTATGACAAGGGCTCTGTAATCTCACTGTGGCCTTCAGGTCTGTTCCTGCACAGGGAAATCAGGGCTGCGGAGGAAAAGTGTCCAGGATATCGGAGGAACTTGAAGGTTAGCCTGGTGGCAATAACAGGAAGATCATGTGCACCCCAGCTGTAAGGATCTGTGGAGGTCATCACTCCTTACCTGAGTATTTGGCAGATGGGTGCTGGGGCTGATGTTGGTCAGCATCGGTGCTTTGAGACCAGTCCCTCACCTAGTGGTCAGTGGAAAGCTGGCAGCACTGAAGCTGTAGGAAGAGGCAGTTACAGACTGCCCCATCTGCTGCCATTTGCGCCTTTCCAAACTGAAGCTGCAAGCATTTGCTGAGGCTCTCTGGTAGCTTTGTAGAGAAGCTTGTGGTTATCTCAGAGGAAGATGGAGCCATAGCCTGTCTTCCTGTAGCTCCAGGGCCAGGGCTGCACTTCTCTGTGGGAACCAGCAGTGCAGAGAGCATCATGGACACATCTTAGGCTCTGGCATATGGGAACCACTGTGCCCTGTCTGCCTTCTCAAAGCATCAGTATTTGGTGGTGTGTGAAGCCAGGGGATACAAGGGTTAACAGATCACCTTTGGAAAGGTCCTCATCTAGCCAGCCCATCACTGTGTGAATTTCTTAGTCATCATTTTGTTTGCTTTTCTGTCCCTTAATGTGGGCATATAACAGCTTTTGCTCTGTGTGTTTTTGTTTTTTAAAAACACTGCTTGTAGAGCCAAAGTTGGCCCAGGAAATTCTGCAGAGCTCTCTAAGGCCCTGGGCAGTGGGCCGCTCCTTACAGGGTGCCTGGATCTGGTCCCTACCCCCATAATTGGCGGTCAAAGATGTGGCCCCAATTTTGTCCCACTTCTTACACTTCTCAAAATAGCCTTGCTGGGCCTGGATTTTAGCTTAGTGGCACCGCACATGCCTTGTAAGTACAAGGTCCTGAGTTTGATCCCCAGTACTAGGAAAAAAAAATAACCTTGCTCTTTTGAATCACCTCCTAGAGCTTTTCCTCAGTGCTCTCTTGGATCAACAGCCCCTCTGACCAGGATCTTGACACCCTGTCTCCCCAGCTATTCTCACTGAGCTGTCCTCTGCCTGTCTCCCCCCACCTCTTCCTCTGGTGGAGGCTGGGATATTGTTTTCCAAGGAGGAAGTGAAGTCCAGTTAGTGTTCTCCGAGGAACCTGACCTGCCCTAGTCCTCCTGGGGGAGGGGTGGAAAGTGGAGCTGCAAGGGCACAGTGGGTAAAGGCTTGGGCACAACTGGGGATTGTGGACCTACTAATACCAGCTTTCTCCTGCTTCTGAATGACTGCCCATCTTGTTCTTGCAGCCTACAACCCTCCCACAGGGCACTATCAACATGAACCAGTGCACAGATGTGGTGGATGGAGAGGGCCGCACTGGCCAGAAATTCTCCCTGTGCATTCTGACACCTGAGAAGGAGCATTTCATCAGGGCAGAAACGAAAGAGATCATCAGTGGGTGAGTGCTCAAGTGCCGTGGGAGGGGGTGTGACTCACCCACCTACCTACCAGCAGGTCTTGTGTGCTAAATTAGCCAAATCATCACTGCCTCCCTTCCTCTGAATACCCTCCCTTTCTTAGTGCTGCCACCATACATTCTTAAGGTCTCTGCCTAGATTTCCCACTTCTACTCTCAGCGCACCCCAGTCCACCTCCCAAACCATGTCCCTACAATCAGATATGTGTTGCTTGGTGGCTTCAAGGCCCTTCCTGACTCTGCAGTGCACCCCACTGCCATATCTCCATAGGGCTGAGCTGCTAGCATTGCTTATGCACTCCTCTCAGTGCAGAATAACCCCTTTCCTCCAGGCTATCGAGAGTCAGTTTGCATTTCAACCTGTAGAGTGTGTTGCATGAACCATAGGGCTCCATCATCCAGCTCCAGGTTGAATGAATGAGCATCTTCCTCAAGTATGGCCCTTAAGAGTGGAGGCATGTCTCAGCCATATGCCCAGGTCCTCACAGATGAGCTGCATCTCTGCGGAGTCTGGCTTCTTTAACTGGGAAGAATGGGCAAGCCTCTTGCTCACACCACACTCCTCTGCAGAGTTTTAGGAGAAGGTCTGCCAAATGGAGGGTGGGCCCAGGTTTTAACATAGCCAGCAGTCACAGAGGATAAGAGCTCTGTGCCTGAGTTTCCAGGAGCTCATGGTCTAACAATAGGACATTTACTACCCACACACCGCTGCCTGAGCCATGGTAGAAAGCTGTATGTGGTCTGTGTAGATAGGTAGGCAGACTCAGCAGGCTTGGCTGGGTGCTCAAGGAGTGGATCTTGAAGAATCCCCTCAACTTTTAAGGCTCAAAGGAGGCAAATGCATCTAAGGAAGTTGTGGAAGAAAGCAGAACTGGGAAGTTGATGAGAACTGACTGACAGCTGCAAGCAGGATAGAGGAAATTGGGAAATTCTTTGGTTTGAGCACAAGGATGTTCCTTGAAGTACCACTTTGTTTTAGTGTCTCAGCCACACCTTACCTCAGACTGAGAGGAAGCCAGAGGTAGGGACAAGGGCACCCCCTGCTAGGTGAGTTTGCATTTTAAGCTCCTGAGGACAAGTTAAGGGAGGGATCACTGTGTGTCTCTCCCTAAACTTAATCTAGAATGATGAGATTTAAGAGGAGCTATAGCTTCTAAAGAACCCTCACTCTGCATCAAGAAGCCTGAGGGCCAGGAAGCAGGGCAGCCTCTGTATTTCTGGCTCATACTTCTTTCTGCTGCCTGACCTAGCCTAACCAGATGTACCAGTTCTACTGGATTCCTTGGGGAACCTCACCTTCCCATCCTGGGACCCAGGGAGGGAATGGGAGAAAGGAGTCAGAGGTCCCTAGGGCAGGATCTGGTTTAGTGACATGCCATATAATTAGAGGGTGACATTTAGCATTTAATCAGTCCTTCAACAGTCAGGCCAGGGACCTTGCTCTGTCCGGAGCCTCCCCCTTACCCCCGTCACTCCTTTTCTCTCTCAGTAGTACTAGCCTGCTTTCCCACATACTTCTTTCTCTCTATGATGCTGTCAGCTCCATCTGCTCTCCATTATGGAGTTGGGGATCCTTGGAACCCACCAATCCCATTTCCATACCCAACCCTCTCCTGTCTTCACTGGGTTTGTTAATTGTAACACATCTGGATAGCATTAGACACTTCCAATATATTAGGTTTCCATGAGAAATCCAAATGCAGAAGACACATTCTGTCATCTGTCCCTCATCTGCCATCTGTAACTCCAGCTTCTTATGGCTGAGCCATGATGAGATGCCTTGTACACAACCCAGGGCCTTTCCAGAGTACCTCCTAAGTTCCTGAGATACACACTCAGCACACTCAGGGGAACTCAGCAGCTCTGTTCAGTGTTCCGTCAGTATGTGGCCTGACCAGCCTTCAGTCTTCCCTCAAGGGCCACCCCACACAGCTCTTCAGTGTTGCCAGGTGGAGGTACCTGCAAGGCTTAGGGCATCTAGAAGGTTTTGCGATCCCACCATGCTCCCTACATACTTGGGCCCTTTGAGAGCATGGTAACCTTGACCTGGGAATCTGACATAGGTGTAGGAGTAGACTTCTACAGACAGAGGTTCTCAGAGTGTTCAGCAGCAATGTTAGCCCCTGTGGCAGACATGAGGAATGAGCAGGAAGAGTGGGTTCAGGTCCCTGGGGAAGCCTGCCCCTTTGCTGGCCTTGAAAGTACAGGTGGCACTCTCCTTTTTTGTTTAGGGGCCACAAAGAAGTGACCTCAGGACCTATATCTCTGATGGCACAGGGTAGCTCTTGACTCAGTACTGTTCTTCCTTGTGCCAAGCCTGGCTTCCCCAGCTATCATCAGCTGTCAACTGCACAGCAATCCTAAGGCTGTCCCAGAAAACCTCCAACTCTGACCCACCCTCCTTCCCTTTTTTAGCATACAATTAAAGAATCACTTCTGGAACTCTCCTCTCCTGCCCCGGGAGTGCTGCTGGGTACAGGGTCAGTGTAGCCTCCAGCCAGGATGCAGCAGTGCAACCTTCACCACTTCCACACAGGGTTTGGACCAGCACTGACCCTGGTGCTCTGGGAAGGTCTAGGCCAGTGTGTCCTGAGGTTTCTTACCCTTTTGGGAGAAGTCTAGAGTTGTCTTGCCCTTCCTGCACTCTGTACCTCTAACCCTTCTTCCCCTGGACTGGTATGACATCTGATTTTCATTCACTTAGTCCTTGTAAAATTCTACACAGTGGGAGAAACAGTGTTCGTGCCATAACGTGATCTAGCACCTGGTTTCAAAAATGAGACAAACCTCAAAGTAGGCTAGAAGCACCCAAGGCTGTGATCAGATAGTAGCAGAGTCAAAGCTGAGGTCCCAGACACTTACCTGTAGCCCCCTCTCTTTCCACACCCCCTTGTGAATTCCCCAGTCCTGGTTCAGAGATACCCTTCTGCTCATGAGCTTTGGTGGCAGTCCTCAGCTGCTCTGTCTGACCTTCTCTAAAGGCAGAGTGCTTGGCCCCCTCCCTGTTTTAAGAGGTGGTTTGGAAGATCAGCTGCTCACCTCTGAGGTGACCGACCATAGGGAACTTTGCTGACATGATTCCTGCTTTCCTCCTTGGGGTAAGCATCTGCTTCATCAATCCTAAATGGCTCCCAGTCACTGCCTATTTGAGTACTTTCAGAAGTATTCTGTGTGAGCAATTTTAGAGCCAAGTTGAAGCCCACCAGACACATCCAGTAATGAGTGATATGCCCTTATGACCCCAAGCCTGTGGTCAGGTCTGCCTCTTTGCCACAGTGGATCCTTGTCTGGGTCTGGTCCTGGCAGAGCCTGTGCTTCTAGCCCGTTCTGTGAGCATGTCCTGGACCAGCTGTGGTGTCTCTGCTCAGTGCCTGGAGGAATGGTCAGTGGATGGATATCTTTAAGCAGGAGGTGTAGGTTCGTAAGGCCTGGGCCACCCCAGCAAGAGTTAGGACTATGGTTCCTGAGAGCCAGGATCTTACCTGGTATTCTGTCTCCTCCCCTCTCCCCAGGTGGCTGGAGATGCTCATGGTCTATCCCAGGACTAACAAGCAGAACCAAAAGAAGAAACGGAAAGTGGAGCCACCCACCCCACAGGTAGGCTTACCAGGTGGCATCCTATCTACAGAGATGGGGGAAGAGCTGAAGGTACCTAGAGGCTAGAGAGTTGAGAAGAGGTCAGGCCAGGGCTAAGGTAGTTATACCCTGTATACCCACCTCCTTCCTCCCCAGTCTGGTGACCACAGTCCACTCTGTCCTCACTGAGTGTGTCCTCTGGCCATTCTGTGGGCCTCTAGGGAAGGAAGAGAGGGAGGAGGGATTGCTACTGCACACACTCCTCTGTTGCCATAGCGAGAGGTGGGGTGGGGGGTAGAGAGAGGGAGTCCTAAGATGTTCTTGTGTTGTGAGGGGCTTTGAGAGTCCCTTAAAGCCTAGGCCTTGGAAAATGAGGCTGAAGTCCTGAGTCTGACAAAGGGAGCCTTTTTTTTTTTTTTTTTT